CGACTGGAGTTCTTTCAAATAACTGACGTTTCGGATAAATGATGCTCTACTGTATTCTATTGTTTAAAATCATTTCCTGATCTGCTGAATCTGATCTCTCATTCTTCATGAGTGGTTTGGGATGAGATGATGATCCAATTTTTTGTGTAATAAACATATTTGAGGATTGACAAATAATGTTTATTTTGGCACTATATGGAGTGATTTTGAAATAAGACTGCATATTCTGTGGAATGTTAGTGACTAAATGAACATTTTTTGCCAATACACTAGGTTTTGTAGACCACTGCATTCGACTGCAGGTGGCAGTAGCATTGGATTTGTACATTGGCCATTCCCTAAGGCTCAGTCCCACCACATTGAGTTTGTTATCATTGTGCAGTGTAATGCTGGTGAGTAGTGGATGATGGTTTCATTGTATTGGGATGGTTGGCAGGAATTATGTCTGCAAAAGTTTATATGGGATAAACTTACAGACCAGCACTTGGTGCTAAAGGTCACTGGTACACTGAGCAGTGCATGCAACTGTATCTTGAACAATTTCTAGTGAGACATCTGCACAAGAATTATAATGAATGAAATGAATGGTAGATACTTTGAACAATTGTTGTGAATTCTGTACGTGTTTTCTTTGTGTCCAAAAACTGTTGCTGTCTCAAAGCTACATTTTCCATGCATTCCTTGTATGTTGCACCAAGAATAGTGCCCAAACAGCAGACTATGCAACATGAGCTGCCTACTTCTTGAAAGTGGCAGTAACTCATTTTCTGATGTAACATGTCTATGGCACCTAGTACATTGATAAAAAATATTTGAAAAATAAAATTGAAGACAAAGTCTATACAAAAAAGGAACCACCATTTATTCACTTTCAATGTTCTGATATACAAACTTTACACAAAGAGAATAACACAACAAAAAGACATTAAGAAATATTTATTTCTCTACGAGTACTTTTGACGCTGTTATCTCAACAATTGCCTCTGCAGGGCAACCCAACAGTGGTGTCAAGAATTGAGTGAGTGATTGATTGATCTGTAAGTTGATACTTGTCTATTTCCAACATGATACTCTTAATATTGGACAAGGATAAAAGGTTCATGTTGTGCAAGGAAGAGGACTTCCTTATCAGGGCTACAGAGTTCCTGAACCAGTCACACTCTGTGATCTTAAGAGAGGATCCAACTCCAGCTGTCTTAAAGAAGACTGAAAATAGTGTCTCTTCTTGGTATAATTGCGGTTCTTTCGGGGTGCTTGGACACTCATCAATGTTGTTGCATCTTAGCCTCAGGCTAAGATGCACTAAATGGGCTGGCCATTGAGGCCACTTGTCAACAAGAGGCTTTACCTCATCTACTACCTAGAACAACGTTTCTCAAAGTGGGTGATAACGCCCCCTTGTGGGTGCTGGAGGCTTTCAGGGGGCAGTAGAAGGCTCAGTGATAAAATACTAGTTTTATTTCTTCTCATTGAAAAATTCTTTGATCTCAGAAATAGGATAGATAGAGTATGACCCATATCCTATCCATATAATAATGCATGTTTAAACATTATACTGTATTTGCAATAACTGTTTTTAAGATATGCAATAGGTGGTAATGTAAAAAGGTAAGTTAAAAATATGGGGCACTAGATTTTTTTTAATCTCAAAGTGGGCGGTGGTCGAAATAAGTTTGAGAACCTGTGACCTAGAAAAAACACTCACCAAGCTGCTTGGTGGGCTTCTTCCCCCTTCTGCTTGTGTCACACCCTCATCCATTGCAGCTAAGGCAGCACTTGGTGCTTTGCCCTCAAGTGTATACAGCTTCTAGAAAATAGACGTCATTGCGTTATATCCCTCAGTGCCTCACTTTGATGCTGTCATGCATGCTAACTCATTGCTTATCAAGGAGGGTTTCACTGTGCAACAGGTGCTAGAGGTGCATGAGGCTTTGCTCTTCATCACTGAGCATAATTATTTTCATTTTAATGGGAAGATATATCTCCAAAAGCAGGGTGTCCAAATGGGTTCGCCGATGTCTGCTGTCTTAGCAAAGTTGGTCACAAGGCTCAACACAGGGTTTTTGACTTCCCGCTCACCATTTCTTACTCATTATTAAATCTGAGGTATGTGGATGACATCCTTTTGGTTTGGCAGGATACAAGAGATGCCTTTCTAGCCTTAGAGCATGCCCTCACGAATGTATACTCTGCCATCAATTTTACGTGAGAAAAATCTTGTTTTAGATCCGGATATTTCCAGGTACCGGGGAAGGGAAGGGTTGGTTGGTTTTCTCTGTGTTTCACAAACACACTGTGTTTGGCAGTATTCCCCTAAAATCCATGCCACAGCATTCCAACCCCAGCGGTATGTCAATGTGGCCATAGCTCCCCTTATCAGAAGGGTCTTTTTAATACCCTAGAACACAAGCCATTACCAGCTTTGAGCTGGATGCCATCTGATCAGTGCTGTGGGCTAGGGCACCTCCAAGTACAAACACGTCTTAAAGAGGGTCAAGAGGTTGCTCTTCCCCACTACTACTTTGCACTTGAGGGAGTGGACTTGTAGTCCATATTTCTTTAGTTTTGTGGTCACATGTCAACGTGTATTTTTAGACAAAATGCCTTGATTTTACCCATTGCTTGTGCCCAAGTCTATGGAGACTCTTGTACAATGATAGGGATGCACTTTCGATCTTGGAAAGGTTGGGAGTGTATTCTGTCCCATTAGGGAATACAACAACTGGAACACACACCTACTACATAGGGCAGGCATGGCCAACATATGGCCCGTCTAATGAATTTATGCGGCCTGCAATTAATCTTTCAATATTAGCTACTCAAGCTTGAATAGCTCGATAAAAATTCTGATGTCTAAAAAAAGTCAACAACTCACTGTATGTTTAGAGTTAACCTTCCATTACAAATCTCTTAAGTACAGCATAGAATGTTGATAAAGCACAATAATATGAAAAATGTATCTGTAATATCTATGTACAATTTAGTTTCTATAGGGTGACACCACAATGAGATCTTGCACCACCTCAAAATCTTCCTAGGGCAGCCTCTGGTTAGGCCCATGGAAAAAGTTTTCTTTCCAATTTGGCCTGGGGGCAAAAACTGTTAGTTACCCCTGACATAGGGGCTACCACCAGAATGCTATCTTGTCGATTATCTGAGCACCAACATTCTGTGGCAGTGGGATGGTGTGACATAGAGTTATCCAGGATGGTTTTACAGCATTACCACACCCCACTTTGGGACTGTATTGTGTTGCTTAAGCACTGTGGTGAAAGGGGTTTGGTGCACATTTGGGAGTCTCTCTTCACCACACTATTGTCTTCATGCAACTCCCCCCACCCTCGAGTTGCCTGGAACTTGGATCAGCTTGTACAAGCTGACCCAAGATAATTCTGATTGACCACATTTCTCCATTACCCAACACTCCACTCCACCTCCATGTATCTAAGCAAGTGCGTGTAGACGTTATGTGATTTTTAAAATAAGTCTGTAAAAATGTTTAGAACAAAAATATTTAGATTCTATTTGGTTAATGCTGTTTCTGTTTGTAATTTAAAATTTGTTTGGGAAAAAACGTTTGATATATATTTGTGCCCAACTACGACATTCATAACAGCGTTGAAAGCACTTGCAGAGAAAATAACACAACAAAAAGACGTTAAGAAATATTTTTCTCATTGTGTGACATCCATCCTACATATTTACATTACTTTGCAAAATACAAACTTTTGATGACCAACCTATCTTTGTAGACTACTTGGTCGTCATAATTAAAAATTCCCTTAAAAACACAAAAAAATATAAAAGTTTAGAACTCGGAACTGGTGATATTACAGACATCCTCTGTCCATCCGTGGGGACGATAGAGCTTTATATCTATTGGAAATAGGTGCTCATATATGTAGATTTTTAGCTGCCCCTGGTGATGAATTGTTGTAAACCAATTTCAATTGTAGGATTCTGTCAATCAAAAACAAATATTTTTGATCACTTTATCATTCTTCAAAATATGCATACCTATTTCAGAATTACCCTATAAATTACATAATGAATTTTGAAATTACTAATTATAAATGATTTTTAATCACAGTTTATTTTATTACACAATATATTGATTTAAATATGGAAAATAATTTGAATCATTTACTTAGGATCCATTTATATTAAGTTATTGTAACTCTGTTTAAAATTTTTTGTATTATAAATTAGGAATCTGTTGAACTACCTTTAACTCATCCAGAATATTATGAAGAAATGGGAATCAAACCTCCCAAAGGTGTAATATTATATGGACCGCCCGGAACTGGAAAGACACTATTAGCAAAAGCCGTGGCAAATCAAACGTCTGCAACCTTCCTCCGAGTAGTAGGTTCCGAGCTAATACAAAAGTATCTTGTATGTAATAGTTCAGTATATTAACAAATTACATTCCAAATAAAACTAAGTTAATTTTTGCATATTACTTTGAAATATTCTAGGGAGATGGTCCAAAGTTAGTACGAGAATTATTTAGAGTAGCAGAGGAGCATGCCCCTTCGATTGTTTTTATAGACGAAATCGATGCCGTTGGAACAAAGAGGTTATTATTTTTAAAAAATGATAATTTAGTAAATGAAAATCTTAACTGAAATAAAAATTGTAGATACGATTCAAACTCTGGAGGCGAACGTGAAATCCAGCGTACCATGTTGGAATTATTGAATCAGTTAGATGGATTCGACTCTAGAGGAGACGTGAAAGTCGTCATGGCCACTAACCGAATAGAAACATTAGATCCCGCACTTATCCGACCGGGAAGAATCGATAGAAAAATAGAATTTCCTCTGCCGGACGAAAAGACGAAACGTCGAATATTCCAGATTCACACGGCAAGGATGACCCTGGCCGAAGACGTAATAATTGACGATTTGGTCATGGCTAAAGATGATTTATCGGGAGCAGATATAAAGGTATTCAATTATTATTTTTAATCTATGAAAATAACCAACCCAAATTTTTAATTACACAAACAACTAAAGCTATATTATATAGCGTATCATAAAGCTAATTAATAAATAATTAATATAATTTGGCATCATTATTAAAGTAAGAATGGGGTAGTGGTCTAACCACTCCTATTAGGTAAAATTACTACCTACATTGGCTCATATGTAAGTCTGCCTTTTTTTTGAAATCCTTATGTTTGGACCTAAATATAAATCAACCTTTTATTATTAATTTTATGTGCAAAAAAATTTCCTAAATTTTTAATGAAAATTGAAAGTAATAAAGTGTCAATGACTAGCATTTTCTTCAAAAATTGTACTCAAAGGATTTGTTGTATAGAAAGAAATATGTGACAAATTGTACATTACTGCTTCTAATTTTTATTAATATAAATAAAAAGAGAAAATTGAGACAATATTCCATGCATCCAATAGAAGGCTGCTCAGCACATAAACTGCAAGTACATATTCCAGGCATGGTGTATGACTATCAAATACAAAAATTTATAATTACATTAGAAACACTTTACAACCTTGTCCTAATTTTTGATGATCACTCAATTAGTAAAATAAAGTTTCTGTAAAGTACCAAAAATGATTTAGTTGAATATGATAAAAACAAAGTAATTGACTAAAATGTCTTGATTTTTGTCATGTCAAATTGCTAGGAACAATAGTCTTCCAATGCAGACAACCTTTTATTAGAGGCTACACTTCTGCAAAAATATGCAAAACAGTTTTAAAAACTTTTTAATTACGTATTTTTTAACTGTTTTGCATATTTTTGCAGACTTGTTGTCTCTGCATTGGAAGACTGTTGTTCCTAGTGATTTGACATGACAAAAATCAAGACATTTTAGTCTGTAAATAATTATTATATAGAAGTTAAAAAAAAATTCTTGCCAAGCATTTAATTCCCACAGTTTGTGAGCTATAGCATTGACAGGTCACATCTTGGCTGGTATTTAGCAATGCTAAACAATAAATGCATCAGATTTTAGGTGGTTTTTTTTACTTTCCCAGCTGTTATATATAAATAACAAAGAAAAGTATTGGAATCTATTTTGCTTAATCTTTACCCCATCCTGAGATATTAAGTAACGAAATTGAGCAGGATGGTTTACGAGAGGCATTGATGCTATTAAATCTTGGTCGTTAAAGGTCGAGGGGGTTGGACTGAATAACGAGTAAAATTGTCATTGACATTTATACTTTTTTATAAAACTGTCCCTATCCTCAAAATTAAGTTTTTTGCCATTTTATAGTACAGTCGACCCCCTATAACACTGTTGATTATTCCATTTTATATGAATTCCATGTTGTACGAGTCACTTAGATTTTACAAATACGTGAGCC